AAAATTTGACCCCCCAGCCTGAGTGATGGAATATTGATCGAATCTTTGGGAGGGAAACACAACAGCCACTCGGTCTTTTCTGTAACTCTGAAAAACGGTCATAAGTCACATTTTTCAGTACTGTTGTAACTTTGGTCACTAAATGAACTGTTGTAAGTCAAAGACTAACTGTATAAGAGGGTGATATGGATGAAGAAAGCCTGCCATACATATGCTGCTGCAGCTGAATAATTACTGTCCCCTATTCAAATTTGGAAGGTTACCTTAATCAGGGTGCATATTATTTTATTATTTTCAATCTTTTTTATTTTAAGTCTCAGATTTTCTAATTAATACATTCTAAAATGAAATACATTAAAATTAATTTTGCCAACAATATTGTACTTCATGTAAAATATTTTAAAACAGATCAATTACTACTTCTCATTTTCTGTTTAAATTATAGACTTAATTAAATACTGAACAATAATGATATTGTATGGCACCTCAATCACTAGAGTATTCTAGGTGGCTTACAAAAGAAGGTTAAAACAATTCACAGGGCAGGCATGACCATCACAGAAGACATGTCTCCTAAGTTTAATGTGATGACAGTGGGAATCTGAAATAGATTAATTGTCCAGAATTTGCTAATTAGGTAGAAATATATTGAAATACCCAGAAAAAAACAATAGTAAACTTGGCCTATGGGAACAGTTCTGCCTATTAGAGGAGAAAAAGAACAGATAAAGAGATATAGTGTTACCAGTTTGTCTTCAAATATAAACATGGTTTTTCGTTAAAAACCACTCAGTGGTGTTGCACAAATGGCATTTATGATCAATCCTCAAAGTTCTGGCCATCCCAACATTCCTGCAGTCACATGATTGTGATCTGGATATGGGGAAACCAGCTTACACTTATGATGGTTGCAGCATCTGGCAGTTATGTCACCATTTGCAGCCTTCTCTGCTGGCTTCCCATAAGCAACGTTAATGATAGAGAAGATGGCACCCATTCCTGCCATTTTTTCTCTCAAGCCCAATTATGGAGCACAAGATGCCAAGAATTTGTACTCTGTACTGTGCCTTCCCTCCGAAGCCTGCCAACTTGGCCTAGCTGGGCTTGTTATGTATTGCATTACATTACGAAAGACATAGGTACATCCTTCCTGGATTAGCCAACCAACCAATTGTGCACGCTCCTGCACCCAGTAATAGCCACCCCTGTTTAATTTAGTTATGAGATTCCATTGCATATGGAAGAAATTGTAACTAAATAGCTAAAGATGTTACAAATATGGTAAAATAAGAACTTGATGTGCACAGATGTGGCTTGTTGCCCACAGCACAGAGCTTTTAAAAACTTACTAAAATACTGGTACAAAATGGTTGTGTAAAAAAATAGAATAATGTGGGTTGATATAATTAAAAAATATACCGTAATTCATCTGTATGAATTATAAAACTTTTTGCAGCTTGTAAATACATTGGCCATGTTCCCTAAATCAAATCCTGGCTTAATAAACGAACACACAGACATTCTTTATCCATAGTTTCCTCTCTAAATACTTTTTTCAACTTTTGCATAAGGAAACCAAACAATTAAGAAACCCAGTGCTAATATCTACAAAATATCCAAGATGAAGAATAATGTTATTATTTTACTGCCTTTTTGTTTTTGTGGTTACTGATATGTTAACAATTGTGTGTCCTTCTAGGATGATGATTTCATTGCAGATCTTTGCAGTGGAACAATGAAATATAAAACATTTATCAAGCAGTGTGGGAATATTCCTGTTTTGTACAGTCCGTTCTGAAACCTAGAATTGGTTAAATGCATTGCACAAATGCATTATTACAAAGTTAGTAAACAGGGTGTGGACAAAACTGACTTAGTTAGATTTGTTGTTTTATTCTATAAGTGTACTACATTTTCTTATAAGCACATAACAAATCAAATTACTACTAATTACTACTACAATCAAGTGGTTAATTTTATTATTCTCCAGCTATTTATATGCTATAGTTATTTTCACCAATTTTTTACAATTTAAATTACAATTTAATAATAGGTCTTAAAGGTTTCTGACATTGCATGTGGCCTTGAAGGCTTGGATTTAATGGTTTTCTTATCCATGCAGCACAGAATTAAATAAAAGACAATTTATCAAAAGTTTTGGAAGTGTGGGAATATTTTTTGTTTTGAGGTCTTGTGATGAAACTTCCCTGAAGCATGCAGCTAGACTATACATTAATACATAGTGATTCTCTTGCACATTTCGCTTGACACACCTTAATTTGCCACATTGCTACAGTATGAAATATATCATCCGCCTTCTTGGGCATTGGATAATTTTCTCACTTGGTCCTATAATCAAGCTCTCAACGTTTTGAATGTTTCATAGAAGTGAACTATATTGCAGAACTACTTTTCAAAATGCAAGAAAAGATCAGGAAAACTTCTTTTCCTCAGAACTCTTGAGTGCAGTAAATCTACAATCTTGATTAGAAACTTTTATTACAAAACTATTTTTAAGAGTTGTTCTTATAAAGATTATAGATAGATTCCAATGATTTTGCTCAATTTTAAATCTCAGAGAAGCATTTATTTTTCTGCCAAAATAGATCTTGAGGGACTTAGTGTAATCTGATTTCAGGATTTCTGCAGCTTTTTCACATGGTTATCTGTAACAAGAATTCTGTTTACATTGAACTTCTCTCTTTCCTGTGCTTCTGGCAGTCTGCTCAGGAGTTTTGGTTAATAGATAGTAAATTGCTAAAGTTGCAGGTTGTCATCTCAGTGCCACTGACTGTAATCTGTGAGAGTAGAAGTGCCTGAAGTTTGGAGAAAGAGCCAGTGTTATCCTAATATTGTAAAATGGAAGAAAAGTGACTGCAGAAAACTATGTATTTGGGAAAATACAAAAGAAGTCAAGAAATCTGAGAAATACTACTTTTTTACATAATCACAACATATTTCTTGGTAAATTGTGACCAAATTCTGATTAACTTTCCCATTGTTGGCCACAGTAATTGTTAGTCAAATGATCCTGAGAAAAGTTTTAAAACTGTGTGCATGGCATTTGTTCCTGAACTGCACAAATGCTGAGAATAAGAACAAGCTGTAAAAAACTGCCCCACAAAGATTACACTGTTCCATGACATCCAAACAAAGTGTGAATTTAATGACACAACACAAGGTGACGTTAATACATTGTTTTGCACTGTTTTTCTCCTTCCTAACGTTTGAAATCCTTGGAGAAAAAAGAACCCCAATTATAAGGAGGATTAACCTGTATTACTCACATGAGTCTCATTAAAGAATTATCAGGGCATTAGGACAATTAGGATGCAAACAGTTGAACTTTAGTAGTCAGGTCCATCACTTTCAGTTGGGTCTAGAAAGTAGTGTGGATGCTTCAAAACAATTCACACATGTTATTGCATAGCACAGTGTACTCTATTACCCGGACTGCAATATTTGAAAAGTATTACAGGATGATGAAATTGGTAAGTTATCTCCTGATTGATTTTTGTCAATGGACAAGGAGCAAAGGAACAGTAGCATAAACTTGTCCAAACATCATCTTTCCTTTGCTATGTATTCCTTCCACATTTTTTTTTATCTCCAACTGAAATAGTAACATTGAATAACTTGTTAATGGAATCCAGAAATCTTTTTGTGCAGTTATTTTATTAACACCAACAAATCCTAAGATTGCTGTTACTAAAGAAAAATATTTATCACTTCAACTTTTTCTCTCTCTGTGCCCTCCATTAAAAAATTAAATTAACAAATATTACTGTAGTTTCTTCTTTAAAATTTACCCAGAATGCTTTATCCATGTCTCTAAAGAGGATACATTTTTAAATTAATTTACTCAGGTGAAAATGTAGGTTCTAGTTTGTTAGTAATTCCTATGGAATTTCATTCTACATAATCCCTTTCTATCTTTCTTATCTTCATTTTTGAGTGGGATGCATTGGACTATCCCGTTTAACAACTGGATGATTTGATTACCTAGATAAATCAGCACTTGGCTAAGTGCAACCCTAGCCAATCATGAGTTATGAAGGGTGTGTGAATTTTCCAAGATATGAAACCAAGTTCAAAAATTCAATTTGCAATTCCCAAATTATGTTTCTTTAACATAGGCAAGAGTGAACCCTAGATTGAAATTGTGTCTTCACTCAAGTGAAATAAAAGGAGCACGTTCAAAAAATATAATTTATGTGACCATCTGAGAAGATAATTTAATGGCTTATTTACCATATAGCAGAATCATAACATTTGTCAAGAGTTTGGAAGTATGGGAATATTTCATGTTTTATGAGAGCTGCTGATGAAACATCCTGAAACACTTTTCTTCCTTTGGTGTGGTGTTATTTGGAATTTAATTGGATGCATAGCTAATCTGTTTATTCATATTATGAAATAATAAAGTCTAAGATAAATATTTTCCTGTAGCTTTAGGAAGCAAATTTCATCAGATGTCTGTCAAAGTAATCTTGGCTTGTTTTCAAGTTACCTTTAAAAAGTTGTGGATGCTTTTGTTGTTATAACTGTGATTCTTGTTTTGAACCTAGGAAGCTGAGTCCTTAACCACAGGAGCTGGAATCCCAGTGGGAGACAAGCTGAATGTCCTGACCGTTGGTCCAAGAGGCCCACTCCTGGTTCAGGATGCGGTTTTCACGGATGAGGTGACACACTTTGACCGAGAAAGGATTCCTGAGAGAGTTGTCCATGCCAAAGGAGCTGGTTAGTTTTTGAATTTGCATTGTGTCTTTTTTTTTAGTCTTGTTAATGGGGCAATGTTACAGTGTCCCTTACAGCAGTGGTTCCCAACACATGCGCAAAGCTCCATTGGTGTGAACAGTGGGCACATACACCCTCTACTTGCATGAATGGAGCTTTGCACATGAGCAGAGGGCGCTTGTGCTTACACATGAAGCTCCGGTTTTGTAAGAGCAGGCACTTACACTTGTGCACGAAGCTCCACTTGCATGAATGGAGGGTGCTTGAGGTCACGCAGGAGTAGAGAGAATTTGTGCATGAAGCTCTATTTGTGCACGAACAAAAGCGTCCTCCACTCCAGTGCCCCCCCACACTCGTGCGTGTGAGTTTTGTGTGTGAGTATAAGGGGCTACCGCTCATGCAAGTAGAGATTTGCACCCGCATGCTTGCCCATCACTCACGTGACCCTATTTCAAACAGGCCGTAGCCCGGTAGTTAGGGACCCCTGCCTTATATAATGTAGGTACGTTTTTGTGATTGACAATATTAAAACTGTATCTTGTATATGTTCATCTTTCTATTCAGGTATCTATTTTTATTCTGTGATGCCGATACAATATTCTGGGGTAGCCAATGATAGATAGTCATTAATAGCAACATGGATTTCTGCTACTGATTTTCTTTATTAGGAGCTTGAATTATCTGTAATCTATCCACTTGTGGGACATTTGAAGTTGTTATGTTTTGTCTTGTTTTTATTTACTAAATAACAATTTTATTGCTAAAATTATTTAACTGATTGATACAAGTAAATAACACTTTTTTTCTTTAAAAAACTGAAGGTTTAAAATTGTGCTTAATTATTCTTTTGCATGCCTCTTAGATTTATAAACAGAAGTTACCAGGAAATATTAGAATTAGATTAACCTTCTTTTAAGATTTGAGAAAGAGTTCTTTTTTTATATTTTTTCAGTCTTCTATAATAGTGCATTCTTTTCTAAATATACTCTACTCAATCCTTGCTTGTGTTATGTTTAGCAAGTACTTATAAATATAATTTACTTGACAACTTCTAATTATAACATTTTTCTCAGAATTTTTAAATGAACAACCAGAAATAAATATTCTCTAGAGAAAAATTACTTGTATTTATTATTCCAGAAACACTTTTACCATTCAGAGCTTCTTATTGATGTAGTCATGGTTTCACTATCATGTTTTAATGTTTAATTTAACTTCTTTTCTTACATTTAATGCACCTTTTCTACGTGCAAATCTAATAAAGAATGATGTTACATGTAGAAATATTCAGAAAATATCATTATTCAATCTGAAAAATCCATTTGTGTGTAATGATTCAGAATCAAATAATTGTTCTGCTTGATGTAAATATGAGCCTTGCTTGACTGTGGTTATTTCAGCTCTCAAAGGTGTTGGAGTTTTGGTAAAGAATGAGCCATCCGGATTGAATGACTTTTTAAGAATAGGGACAAGAAAGTAGAGTGGTAATGTTAAACTACTATATGATCGTCAGTCCATATTGAATATAGAGAATAAAAACAGTCTTATTTTAATGTTTAATGTTGGAAAACCTAAAAAGATTGTTGACAAGTTTAGAAAAGGCAGGCACAGTCACACACTTCTGAGTATTAATGATTCGCCTGTGAAGGTGGTTAGCACATCAGGTTTCTGGATGTGCACCTAACAAGTAGGCTGGCTTGGTCATTCAACAGCGAGACACTGGAGAAGCGGGCACAGCACCTGCATTTTCTATGTCGCATGAGAAAAATTCATCTTCCTTACCACTTTCTGTAGAGGAATGATTGAGAGCATCCTGCCATATTGCATTACAGTTTGGTTTGGAAGCATTACTGCTTAGGACAAGAAGGCAGTGCAGAGACTGGTGAGGATAGCAGAGAGAGATTATTGGCAGTTCACTTCTGTCTATCCAGGACATAGCATATAAGAGATTCTTGACCAAGGTCCGCAGTATTGTCTGGGACACTACACATCCTCTTTACGATTTATTGGTATCTGAAGCAGAACATCCAGATTCCGTCACAGTTTCTTTCCATATAGTATCAACCTTGTGAACCCTCAAGCTTCCTCTTTCTGTTATGTATTCAAGATGGACAGTGATGTATGTATGTATGTATGTATGTATGTATGTATGTATGTATGTATGTGAATGGGACTAGGTGTGTGTGTGTTATGTATGTATACACTTTTGAGAGCAGGCTACATAATTTCATTTTTAATGTGTGCCAGTGTGCCCACAGTAAAAAAATTACAATAAAGGTCAGTTGGTCGGTCTGTCTGAAGGAAAAAAATCAATGAAAGTTGATTGATTGATTCAATTTATATGTTGTCCATTCGCTGTTCAAAGTTGATGACTTCCTTTTTGTTAGCAGAATCCTATGTTGAATCAAATTTCCATTAAAAGGAGACGTTATATTTATGGTAACCATCAGCATTTTTTAAAAAAAATAGCATAAAATGTATACTTATAAATGCCTGATAATAATGAAAACATTATCTTCTGCTTCAACTACCATAATTATTCTTTGCAAATCTATGAACATTGGAACTATTTTTTTAAAATTGTAATAAACCCCTTTTAATTTTTCAGGAGCATTTGGCTTTTTTGAAGTGACTCATGATATCACCAAATTCTGCAAGGCAAAGGTATTTGAGCACATAGGCAAAAGAACTCCAATGGCTATTCGATTTTCAACTGTTGGTAAGGATCTTATTTATTTACTTTATACATAAAAGGTTTTTATATCAATTCAATATTTTAATCTATTTCAATGGATTTTTATGTGCTGTTTTCAATTGACACTGGAAAGTAAGTAATTTAATAAAGGTGTTACACCTTTAATATGAAATGTTGATTCCTTATATTTTCCTAATTTTTAGTAGAATATTAGGATTAATAGCTGTGTATTCTTGAACAGGTTTTATGAATAGCAGAAACATAGGCATGTTTATCGCTGCATGCATTTGAAAAAGAGTAATGACATATGGGTAGCCCTTGACCTATGACCACAATTGGTACCAAAAATAATTCAGCACATTATTTAAATTTAAAAGATAATTTTCATTACTTTTTCTATTTCTCTAAGTCATCTCATCCAAACCACATGCTACCCCCTGAAATTTAAATTACTGCTGTGCAATTCTGTTTCTGTATTTATCTTTTAAATGTCAACCGTACAGATGATAGATTCCACAGTAAGTAAATACATGACAAAGTTGGCCAAGGCATTACACTAGGTTCATAGGATTTAATCATGGGAATTTGCATTCTTTTTTTTTTATTTATTTAGCTGGAGAAGCAGGCTCAGCTGACACAGTGCGTGATCCCCGAGGCTTTGCAATGAAATTCTACGGTGAAGATGGAAATTGGGATCTTGTAGGAAACAACACTCCCATCTTCTTCATTAGAGATCCAATTCTGGTAAATTGGAACTGATATGCTCCTAATCGGGTTTCTGTCAAAGGCCTTGGAGCATGTTAAATGTGGCCATTGTTTTGGAATCTGCCATTATAGTTCCTTCTGGACACCTATAGCTGTTCGAATGGCATATTGTAAACGCCTACAGTTTTCTATTACAGTGGGCATAAATCCATCAGTCAATAAATCTTATAAAAAGGGCTTTGTTGTGGTCATTGGTGAGACTAAGCTAGTTTGATTTGTTTCCAGTTTGAGGTGGGAAAGAAATCTTTATTTTAAAATGAAATCTGTAAGGTTTGGATATTTTCTATCTCAAAATTGCTTTGTAGATTTGTAGTAGTAATGGTGATAGGAAGTTTCACATGTTGCAAGGGAAAGGGATGCAAAGGTTTTAATTTGCCTATCTTGAATAGGCAAGTTAAAGTGGGGGGACCTGGATAGTGGTAGACCTGGACCAATGACCACAATTGAGCTCAAAATCTATATTGCTAAGTGAAACAGTTGTTAAGTGAGTTTTGACCCATTTTGTGGCCATTCTTGCCACAGTTGTTAAGTGAATCACTGCAATAATTAAGTTAGTAACACAGTTGTTAAGTAAATCTGGTTTCCCCATTGACCTTGCTTGTCAGAAATTCGCAAATATGACCAGGGGACACTGCAACCAACAAAAATATGAGTCAGTTGCCAAGCATCTGAATTTTGATGTTCATTTTCAATTATATATTTACAAGAGTTCTACTACTAAAATAAGTATCTGAAAGTAGAAATAAGGAAGCAGAAGCAATGTGCCAGTGTTCATCATTACAATCTTAATGGTTGTACATAAAAATTCAGTAGGTTTTGTTCATTTTATTTTCATATTGATAATTTAATGGCACAATAAATTCATAAATGCATATTTTTAAAGCAAGCTCAGAACCCGTGCAGGAAGATTTAACTCTAATGCAAATGTAAAACATTTTAATCTTTTGTTTTTGTACTCTGTTAGTTTCCATCTTTTATCCATAGTCAAAAGAGGAATCCACAGACACATCTGAAAGATGCAGACATGGTATGGGACTTCTGGAGTCTTCGCCCTGAATCTTTGCACCAGGTAAAATTTTACTTCCTTTTAATTACTTTTAGTCTGTTTCTTTTAGACCCTGTGTCCTTCATCTTTAGTTCAGAAGAAATGGCAAAGAACAAATGTATAAATTAAAAACTTTATTATTGTTAGGCTGCTGCATAAAATTACATATCTTATTATAGAAAAATTTGTCAAGAAAGAAGAAAATTGGGTTGATTTTCTATGGTATCTTTATTTTCTTAGATATTTTTTATATAAAAGCCAAAATAGTCAACGTTGATCTTAGCCTTTTCTTGTTCAAGTTCAACTCTTGCAAACATGAAGGGAAGGGAAGAAAAATAGGGAAATGCCTAGAATTGCTTGAAATTCATTTGTTTGTCTTTGCCAGTAAAATACGGAGCTAGAAATGTTTGTACGGTAAGTATAAAAGCCATAAATCAAATGGGCAGAACACACATTTTTATTTATCTGTTGATACCTTGTATTTTCAAAAAACAAAAGCAATAAAATGTCATAACATACAAAAGAGCAGCTAAAAATATTTTTTTTCAAAATCGTGCTAGACCAGAGCCATTCAAAAAATTAGATTGTTTTCAAAGTTTGCTTAAATGTAAAAGAAACTGCTAAATTTCCCCATGATAAGTTTTGCAAAGTCTGTGTTACCATTATGTGACTATGATTATATTGAAAGAATGTTTAATTATGACAATTTATTATCAATGCTCGCAACGTAAGCTCATACATAAAATACTGAGCTTCACACAGCCAATTCCAATTCATTTATTTCTGGGCTGGAAAATAAAATTGGGGAGATATTAGGAACAATTTTCTTTGATTAATTCCTGAGTTTTAAGTTTAACTCTTTGTTGTACACAATTCAGAGACGTTCAAAGAAATTGTGCTGTATTATTTATTTATTGTGCTGTTCTTTTTCCTACAACAATTTACCAAAGGAACAGTAGAGGGATGGATTCCTACGCAAACTGGTACTGGTTCACTTCGCAGTGCTTTGTGCTCATTAAAGATGGCTAAGTACATTGTTTTGTCTCATGCAGGTATCATTCCTGTTCAGTGGTCGTGGCATTCCAGATGGGCACCGTCACATGAATGGCTATGGATCACATACTTTTAAGCTAGTCAATGCTTATGGAAATGCAGTATACTGCAAATTTCATGCAAAGGTAATTATGGTCTATTGTTACCATTTCCTGCTCAATGTTGAGCTATCAAAAGTCTATCCCTCACCGTGCCTTATGATTCCATGTATCTTTCTTCTTTCAATCTGTATTGGCCATGCTTTTAATTGCTAGGCAAAGCCGCTTGCATTCATATTGGTTCCTATTTCTAAATAATAATAATAATATTTTTAGCAACAGGCTTATGGGTACCTTTATATATGGACAATTTTAGTCCTTCCATCCATAAAAATGTCTGTTCTACATGCAATTTCATGATATATCTTTGGATCTAGCTTTGTTTCTAGCAGCTTTATAAACATTCTCTTACAGTAGATTTTTAAACTGGTCTGTTTTAATGAGAGAAGCAATTTAGAACTGAAGAGAAATTTCCTGACAGTGAAAACAATTAATCAGTGGAACAACTTGCCTACAGAAGTTGTGAATGCCCCAATACTGGAAATCTTTAAGAAGATGTTGGATAGCCATTTGTCTGAAACAGTATAGGGTTTCCTGCCTAGGCAGGGGGTTGGACTAGAAGACCTCCAAGGTCCCTTCCAACTCTGCTATTGTATTGTATTAATGCAGATTACTGGGTTAGGGTTAAGAATAAGATTAACCATTTCTACATTAATAATTCTAGATAACAAGTTATTAATTCACATTTTGATTGCTTTTTAATATTTTAGACTGATCAAGGAATTAAAAACATGCCTGTCAAAGACGCAGAAAGACTGGCTTCTGAAGATCCGGATTATGGCCTACGTGATCTTTACAATGCAATTGCTAATGGAAACTTCCCCTCTTGGACTTTCTATATTCAAGTTATGACATTTGAACAAGCTGAGAAGTTTCCATTTAATCCTTTTGATGTAACAAAGGTGAGTATATTTTTGTAACCTTTTCTCCAGCGTACAGTATATCTTGAAAGCCCTAGCTGAATGTAGTAAAATAAAATATCCCTGTTATATTTTCCAGGTTTGGCCTCATAAAGATTATCCTCTCATTCCTGTGGGAAAAATTGTCTTAAATCGAAATCCCGTCAATTATTTTGCTGAAGTGGAACAATTGGCCTTTGACCCAAGCAACATGCCTCCAGGCATTGAACCTAGCCCTGATAAAATGTTACAGGTAACCAGAATAGATTTTCCTCCCCTACTCATTGCATTGTGAGACTAGGCAACTCAGTCTCTCAATCATATTTTGCAATAATGAAAACATGTTAACCTCAATCTGTTTGTTATTAGAATTTTTTCTTTGTTCCACGTTTTTCAATTTTTGGGTGTGTTGGGTTTTTTTGTTCCCACCCCTGAATATTAAAACAATTGGTAAAAAGAATACCATTCGTTATTTGTATCTTAAGCTCTGGTAGAGGTTGACGCAAGGAAGTTGCTTGATCAGAAGACTCTCATTCTAGATATATTTAATTAATGAAAAGTGTAGATAGCACTAGCAATAGCACTTATATACTGCCCCATAGTGCTTTAGAACACACATTAAGTGGTTTATAGAGTCAGCCTATTGCCCCAACAGACCGGGTCCTTCTTTTACTGTCTTTGGAAGGATGGAAGACTTGAGCCTGTCAGGATTGAATTTCAGATTGGGGGCAGTTCGCTTGCAATACTGCATTCTAACCACTTCACTGCCAGGGTTCATAAGATTTTTTTGAGTTTAATTACACTGTTTCAATGTATGTATGCATGTATGTATGTATGCATGTATGTATATGATTAATATGTGAAACCATTGAAAGTGTCCTGTCAAAGCTGGACTGAAGTGACCAGAGGTGACTTTTTCACTGCTTCAGTCTCAGGGACTCTGGGCTTGTCAGGTTATAAAGTACTTAAAAAAAGAGTTGGAGGGGCATTGATGAAAACATCAAAAACATCCTTGTAGTTGTGTTGCCTCTTTTTGCTATATTGAAGAGATGCCTTTGATCTGATTCTCAAGGTTTGCTTCTGGGCCATGTTCTTGGATCCTTTGAAATCAAGACTTCCCCCCCCTCATGTAGGATAGGATAAGCAATAGTCTCTCTCTTAAAAAGCAGTGATGACATAGGCAGTGCAAAAAGCACTGGAAAGCATTCTGAATAAAACCTAGGGAAATGCTGTCTGCTTCCTTACTTATACCCCTGTAATATATTTTTCCAGGGTCGTCTTTTCTCATATCCGGATACCCACAGACACCGCCTGGGACCGAACTACCTGCAAATTCCTGTAAATTGTCCATATCGAGCTAGAGTGGCCCACTACCAGAGAGATGGGTTTATGTGCATAACTGATAACCAGGGTAAATCTGAAAATAACATTTGGGAGCTAGGCTGTGGTGGCAATTTAAACTAACCTTGCAGGTGCTTTTTATTTCATTTACATTGACACTACAATTTAATCAACTATTTCTTCATTTTTATTTTATATTAATTTCTCCCTTATTTTTATTATATGGATGTGTACAAATGTTTAGATTTGGATAGTGTGCGAAGGCTCATTGAATATGCCTAGCAGCCAAACTCATACAGTAATTTTGCTTTCAAGCTTTTTAACAATAATAATAGTCCCTAAACAATTGTTTGTTTTGGGAATTGGAACCAGCTATGAATAGACTTAATAAGAAGAAATTCAGGCATTGTAGAAATGCCATAGCTTGCTAAAACAAATTTTTGGCTATGAGACATAGTGATGCACTTTCACAGCTGATACTCTTGCATTCTTTGCTGCTTTTGTCTGTCTCCTAATATATTGTAAATTTTTCCCCATAGGTGGTGCCCCAAACTATTACCCAAATAGCTTTACTGGCCCTGAGGAACAACCTGCTTTGAAGGAGTGCCGTTCAACTACCTCAGGCGATGTACAACGCTTTAATAGCTCAGTTGAGGATAACGTCTCTCAAGTAAATAAATTAAAAATGCCCAGTTATTTTATTTTAGAAATGAAATGTGTCTGTAAATTATTTCTCTCTCTCTTTTTAAGCAAGGTAAATTTATTATCAACATTCTCTTTGTACGTCTTCTAAATACCCAATTTAAAACAAAGGTTTGAGAGCACTTGCTTGATATAATTCTGTCCTAAGGTAATTAAGCTTTGATTTCCTGTTTGCTCTCAACTTTTGTTACTCAATTTTCTCCACAAGTGGAGCCAAGTATAAAAGTGAGATTATTCAGTCTCTTGGAGTCAGTGCATTATTTTCCTGGTTTAGACAAAATTATTATAACGTGCCAATCCTCTATACTGCTGATCTTTCAATATCCCCCCCACTCTTTTATAAAAAAAAAAATAGAGGTAGTCCTTGATTTATGAACACAATTGGGACTGGGATTATCGTTGTAAATTAAAGCACTTTTATCAGTGGACCTGATTTTATAACATTTTTGTGGCATCAAGCAAATCAATGGACAGTAAATGATTCTACAGTTGTTGAATGAACTCGCTTCCCCCCCCCAAAAAAAAATGGGTGTTTTTCACCAGAAACCAGCAAACTGTATCACAAATCACAATCACATGAATGTGAAAGAACGATCCTATAAAGAAGGCAGAACTTTTCACATTTTAAACAGCAGAGAGAATTCCATGATAATCGTAAATAGCCATCAGTTTATTCTGATTTATGTAATAGCTGAGGTTGGTACTGTTAATGAAATTGGAATTATAGAAAATTTCTATTAGCAGCAGAAGGTATATCTTTAAAATTTGCTTTAACTATTCATTGAAAGGTACGGGACTTCTTTGTCAAAGTACTGAATGAGGAAGAGCGCATGAGGCTTTGTGAGAACATTGCCAACCATCTTAAGGATGCTCAGATTTTCATCCAGAAGAAAGCTGTAAGTAATAATGTGATACCTCTTAAGATGTACAAAGATTCTGGTTTAAGGGTTAACATTGGCTTTGGAGCATGCAGAGGTAGGTGTGTGTGTGTGTGTGTGTGTGTGTATATATATATGTGTGTGTGTGTGTGTGTGTGTGTGTTTATTTGTGCTGATAAATAAATAAAGGGAGACTAGTATAGATCTATTTCAAGCTATTTAGCTCTCATCAGCTAGCCATACCCTTGCTGTATTGAATCCCAGTAAGGGTGTGGCTAGCTGATGAGAGCTAAATAGCTTGAAATAGATCTATACTAGTCTCCCTTTATTTATTTATCAGCACAAATAAACACACACACACACACACACACACACACACACATATATATATATATATATATATTTGTTATATTTGTGCTG